AAATTGATGAAGAAGTATATAATCTAAAAATTATAACTTAATTTTCAGATTTTAAGTTTCTATGTCAATTTAAATTAAATGTATTTTTAGTGAAGGGTTAGTGAAACAAACAATCTACATAGCATATAAGAATTTAAAGAACAAAATATTGCTAAGTCACAACAAGCTTCTTTCTTGTGACTTAACAATGTTTTATTTTTGTTCTGAAAAACATTAATCAACAACAACAACATACAACAACATTTATCAACAAGAATAAAATATTTATCAATGTTTTTAAAACAAGAACAAAATATTGCTAAGTCACAAGAAGCTTCTTTCACAAATGTTTTGTTCTTGTTCTGAAAATATTAATCAACAACAATAACATACAACAACGTTTAACGACAACACAATAACATTTATCGATAATACAATAACATACAACAAAATAAAATAAAAAATAACATTCAAGAACGCAAGATATAATAAACAAAAACAACGACATATTATGAAATTATGAGAATATTAATCAACAATAACATACAACAACACAAGATATCATGTAATGTTTCAAGAACGCACTCTTTTTTAAACTAATCGTGGATCTGAAACAAATTATGAAGTTCATCTAGTTTATGAAGCTATGAAGAAGAAGTACAAGATGAATGAAGTTTACACAATAACTTCATACTTCTTGTATTTTTCTTCATAGCTAAACAAACCAGATGTATCATAGCCAAAATATGCACTTTGTTAAGGGGGTGAAGACGAATCTGAAAAAATGAGAACATTCACCAAATGAAAAAATGAGAATCCATTTTTAATAAGAAACGTAAACGAAATCAAAGCATAAGTTCAATGAACAAACCTCAAGGTAGCGATTGGTGAAGACGAATCTAAAGGTTGAAGTATGTTTTAAAAGTGACATGGATGTTAAGGTTATGTTATGAGAGAGAAGAGTGAAATATGTTAGGGTGTTCTTTTGAGAGAAACGGTTGTTAAGTACTGAACGATCAATACTTTCGTTTATATACTAAAAAATATCACTTTTCATCACGGTTAGAAAGAAAAACCGTGATGCAATTTTTGAATTTTACAACGGTTATAGTGTAAAACCATGGTTAAATAACTTGGTTAAGAAGAATAGTTTGAAGAAGTAAAAACTCATTATATGAAACTGTGCATTTATAGAAGAGGTTGAAGATGAAACATATGATGATTTGATCCTTGCAATGATTACTTGTAATGGTTGATATTCTTGAATGACTTGTGACCGTCTTGAGAAATAAAGAAATAATTCAATCATCATTATAGTCGTTTCTCTCTTTTGGGAAGAACAAAGGTTCTACAGATTATATTACAACATTTGAATATTAACACCGTGATTAAATCATTTTTATTTATTTATTTATTTATTTATGAAATTAAGTGACACACGCTTTTGTAATAGGAAAAATGAAAAAAAATGTAGTTGTTAGGATTCGAACCTTGTACCACTCACTTTATCACCACAATTGTTTATACCATGATTAAATAACTTTAAAAATAAATAAATAAGTAATAGGCACTTCCAGTTTGCAATATTACAACGGTGGAAGGCATAACCGTAGTAATAGTATGTTACCAAATGTGTATTTTGTAGTAGTGAAGTGCAAATTCGACTGTTGTACTGGGTTATAGACATTATTTCAATAACTCATTCTCCCATTGCATGTCTAAATTGGCTTGTAGTTGGCGGAGGTTATGAAGCATTTCATGTACATGAATTATGGGTTGCAATGAAATTTGCTTTGATGTTTGACCTTGGAGTGGATGTAGATAAAGCTGAAAGGTTGGGAAAGCTCATAAGGTACTTTGTCCAACCGCCAGAGATGCTAGATTTTATGGTGATGGAAGTGAAAGAGGAGTAATTAATACTAGAGTATATTCAATCGGAGGAGGAAGAGAAACTTCATTCATGAAATCAGGAGCGTTTGTTGCGATAACAACATTGTCTATGGTGGTCGAGCAAGTTGCTTTTGATGCTGCCATGATTGTACAAGGAAAATCTATACTCTAATAGAGAAAAAGACCGGGCGACCCGAAAGAGAAAAAAAGTCGTTAATCTGAATTCGCGGTAGAAGGATGGTGGTTTTTCATGGAAATTCACAAGATTCAAATGTTGATTCCCACATACAACACCAATGTTTAGTATGAAAACCAAAGTATGTGAGAATTGAATGAAATAGAGGTCAGATACGATGGAGTGAGCTTCTGGTATGACAAAACTGGGGTGGACCTACAATAGTAGCATTCCAACACCCAAGTTAGTTAGTAAGTGACATAGTAATTTGAGTGTGTGAATGAAAAAATATCTGAAACGATGTACGTTGGTCTTTATATAGTGTGAGCAATTAAAACCGTCCCTATACAATCCAACACTTTATGCGGGTTATCATTTAATCAAATCTAAAGGTGAGAAATGTGATATAAGTTATCATGTATTTTCAGTTGGAGCGATATTACGTCTGTTTTACACACCTTTTCACGAACCCATTATTAGACTTTGATCATGAGTTTTAATCAACCCAAAACAAAATTTATTTTTATAAATTAATTGTAAACATCTTTATATTTTGTATATCAAAACATTAGACACAATTATTTTGGATATACATTAATACAATTTTATTTTATTTAAACAAGGGTAAAAGTTTACATTTTAAAATAAATAGCAATATAATATTAAATAGAAACGAGACTTACAAAACCAAATCAATTGGATTTTTGTGTCACTCGTTTAGAAAGAAAAAAACTATTACATGATATTTTGGATTTTTTTTTAATCAAGAAAAAATATATTAATTCAAAAAAAAATTATACAAACAAGGTGATTCAAATAGAATCCTACTACTAAAAGAGACTAATTTTACATCATTAAACTAGTTAGGTGGCTCCTAATTTTTTTTTACTTCACCACCCTCTATATACTACATCATCTATAATTGTTGATACTATACTTGTATTATCCACACTATTACCAAAAACTATATCATTTATATATCTCCATATACCATAAATTGGTTTCAACAATTAATATTTTGGATATTATCAATAAAATATTTTTAAAATAAATAAAGTTTGGTAATAGTCCAAATCAAAATTTGGTAATTAGGAAAAAAATGATATTAAATAAACATGTTTTGGTGAAATACTATTATTACTAGGGTTTCGCATATTTTCTCCTTTAGTTATCCTCAAAGATATAACACAAAGCACTCAACACTGAGATTCTGTTTGGTAAAATTAGCTTATAGCTGATAGCTTATAGCTGATGACTAATAGTTGATAAGTTAATTTGAGTGTTTGGTAAATGAGATAATTACAAAATAACTTAAAAGGACATTTTTAATTAAGAAATTTGTGATTTCATTATCATATTATATTATATTATTAAATTAATTTTTATTTAATAAAAGTAAATGTATTAATAACATCATGCAAAACAATTTTAGTATATATAAAAATTGAAGATATCATCAAAATATATAAATTTGTATATAAATTTTATGAGTTTTGTTATTTATTATGAATATATTGACAACAAAGTTCAATGAATAAAATAATAAGCAAACCATACATGAAGCAGGGGTAATTCATAAAGTCATTTATGAGGACATAAAAGTAAAAATAATCTTAATAACTACAAATTTTGGTCTAGTTAACTCACTTTTTTCGCATAATATAGTTTTTTCCCCCCTAATTTTATAATAAAATTTAATAAAATACATGAAATAATAATATTATAATTTTTAATTTAGTTATATTAAAAATAAGTTTATTGTCTAATATTTTATAATAAAACTGAATTTTCTCCACCTTTATTGATTCCTTTCTGATGTTTCACTAATTTGAGAATTACAACACTATTTCTAAATTAATTATATAATTTATATTTAATAAATAAAAATAATGTTTATTATAATAAAGTAGAGAAAAATAGTAAAAATTTGTTATAGCATTCTTTAAAATCTCTACAAATTCAATCTTTTAAAATTAATTTTTTAACAGTAAATATTATATATATATATATATATATATATATATATATATATATATATATATATATATATATATATATATATATATATATATATATATATATATATATATATATATATATATATATATATATATATATATATATATATATATATATATATATATATATATATATAAAAGTATAATTGAAATAAAAAATCATAAACTAAAAACTACTTTACATAGCTTTTAAAAAAAAGCTAAAAACTAATTAAAAAATTATAAGTTAAAAGTTAAAAGACACTTATTAAATAGAACTTAAGTGCTGCCACTACAACCACCGCTATACAACGGTGTATCTTGTCTAAAATAAGGAGGAGTGCAATCATATTAATGAAAAAATTATATTTAAACAATCAATATTAATTAAAATTAGTAAGTGTGTTATACTTCTTTCATTTACTTTTATATATACATTTTGACTTTTTAAATTTATTAAATAAATAATATATAAAATGTTAATGAATAAATTTTAACTAAATTTATTAATTATTTAATAAATATAAAAAGTTAAAATTTATTTATAAAAAAGAATGAAGAGTATAAATAGTTTTACATGTTTAATCATTCTATTGCTCCTTAAAAAAAATACACAAATAAATTATTAACAAAATTATGTATCAAAGACTTAATTTTTAAACAACATTGATTAAAAAATACACAATTTACTGTTGTCAAACATAATTCAAATGATCAACCTACACCGATTTTTTGTGTATTAAATTTCACCAAATTCAAAACCCTAACACCTTTAAACCCTGCAGCCGTCATTCATTATTTTCTTTCTTCTTCTCTCTCTTGTTTCTATGTGTTTTTGTTTCTTACTACAAACCATCATCTCTTCTTCCTCTGCTTCTTCTTCTGACTCAATTATTTCTCTCACTTGGATTTTCGATCCTTAAACATACTTTGGGGAAGACCAATCAAACTGATACCAAATGGGGAAGAAGAAATTCATCGACAAAAAAGCCTCTACGACTTTCCAACTCATGGCTCGTGACTCAACCGACCCAGCATTCGCTCAATCCGACCGTGTTTTCGTTCGCGTCGACAACAATCCTCGTTCCGCCGACTCTGTCTTTGCCGATTCTCCCGATGACCCTGACGCAGAGTTTGACACCGACGACGGATTTGCTCAAGGTAGCGGTCCTTTGCCGGACGATGTCAGGAAGGAGATTCTGGAATTAGGGTTTCCGGATGATGGATATAACTACTTGTTTCATTTGAGGGAAATTAAGAATACTGGCGGCGGTTCAAATTTCTTCAGTAACCCTAAGTTCAAACTTGAACACGTTAGTGATGTTAAGGTGATGATTTGTCAAATAGTTATTTTTTTTTGTAAGTATTTGAGTTTGACTATTTGTAGAATCTTATCCAAATTGGCTTTTAAGATTTCTGGTTTTTGTGAATTTAGGCTTATGATGCTTCGAGAGTTCGAATTAAAGAGGCGGCAGAGAAAGAGCCCGAAGAGAACACTTTGTACAGTGTTGCATCCCATACTGCTAATGTAAGGGTTCAAAAAGCTGTTGATCCTGAAGTTGCTGCACTGCTCGATGACAGTGATGTATCACGGTTTGGCTCTGATGTTGAAGATTTGGAGGAAGACTTTGTTGTCCAGGCTAACCTCTGTGAAGATGAAGAAGGTAACGAAGAGAAGACACACACGTCTAATGAAAAGAAACATGTATTGCAAGTTTCTGCTTATTCCACTCTTCCCGGTGACTGTGGACCTTTGGATGGGAGTTTAAATGGTGCAACAGATGTGCACTGTGTTGTTGAGAAGCCAAGAGGCCGTCGTCTGTTAGATGAACAATTCGATTTGGTGAGTTCTAATCGTAATCGTTAATTTTCACATTGTGATGCTGCTTTTTTTCTTTTCAAATTGATAAAGTTCTATAAGTATGTTTCTGTATGTACTATGTCATCGTTTAGTTTGTATTACTGTGCTAAGTTTCTGTTTGTGCTAAGGTGTTATTCAGAATAGAAAACAAGATTCAATGCATGATTAGCTTTCTCCTCACTTTTATCTCTACACATTAGTTTCTGTCACAAATTACATAATTTAATAAACTGTATTGAACTTCTTCGTTTTTGGTATGGTTTCTGAGTGTAATTTTCAAATTTTATCCATTTTTGCTTTTGCAAGTAATAATAGTCTTCATTGACCACCTCTATACATTTTACTTCTAAGATTCTCATTCTCAGTACATTTTCTGTTATAGTTTGAACGTCAAGAATATGGAACTGATGATAACAGTGACTACGATGATTATTATGGTGATTATGAAGAAAATTATCGAGCTGAAGACGAGTCACTTGCTGAGAAGCTCAAACTCTCGCTTGGCAACCATGTGATGGATAACCAAGAACTTGATGCTGGTGGCAAGTACAGGGTTCCTGCAGAAGGTGAGGAGGAAGAGGATTCTGCTGCCGATGTGATTCGCCGTACCAAAGAATATGGTGAGCAGTATGAAGTTGAGGATGATAGCAAAGATGCTGTGATTTTTGAAGAAAGTAGCGATGAGTCAGAAGTTTGGGATTGTGAGACTATTGTTTCAACATACACAAATTTAGATAACCACCCTGGAAAGATTGAAACACCGGGGGCAACTAGGAAAAAGAAATTGGCTGAAACTGTGACTGCTGCCTTTAGTTCCTCTAGTCCAATAATTTCCCTAAGAGGAAAAGCAAAGCTTCCTTTAGACTTCTTACCCGGTGGTAGAAAACCTGCTGCTGAAAAGGTTAAAGACTCGACGATTGAAAAAACTGAACGGTACAAGAGAAAACAACATGGCCTAGAGTCAAAGGAGGAGAAGAAAGAGAGAAAGGTAACTTATTACTTGGCCCGTTTATGTTACGTCTTGTGTTTTCTATGCTTCATATATGAATGTAACTATCAACCTTTTTATGAATTCACCAACTTCTGTCTCTTTAAGAATAATATTTTTATGAGTCCTACTAAGTTGATAACCGTGTTGTTTTTAAGGCTGCTGTGAAGGAGGAACGACGTGAGGCACGTCGCACTAAAAAAGAAATGAAAGAGCTTTATAAGTGTGAAGCTAACAGGGCACAACGAGCTGCAGCTGTATCTGGTCCCTCTTCCATTCATCTATTGTAAGTGTTTTAAATCTAAAATTTTGCTTCAAACTATCTAAAAGATGGGGAACATTGGTTTTTCTATATATACGAGAAGGATTTATATTGGTGAAAGTAAATCAATATGATCATATAAGAACATTGCGTCATAGCTTTAACCTGCTTGGTGAGATAAATATGTTTCAATCTAAAAGAAAATTTAAATTGAGGTTAGACATAATAGTTACATCTGGCTCACACGATGCACACTTCCCTATTGGAACGGCTTGATGAATAGAAATACTCTAAGCTTTGTTAAGTAGTGATACTATTTTTTTGGGTAAACAAGAGTATATCTGTTCAGTAACTTATTATCTTTTTTTAGGCTTTAAATCTGTTCAAATATTTATGCATGTAAACAAACCTGTAATGAGCTTTTGAAAAGGATGCACCAATTTTTTTAAATTAGTTCTCAGGAACTAGTTTTTTTCCACAACCTACTTAAACCTTTAAATGTGTGGAAATGCTGTGGATGTGATTTCTTTTCTGCTTTGTTTTCATTTTCCGGGTTTTATCTTTGCAGGTAAGTCACGTACCAGCTCAACTTGTCACACGTGTGGCTGCCATAGACACTACAGTGAAGCTTGTGCCTCTTCTATGATGTTTTCACGTGTCAAATCTATGTTTTGCCACATAATACACGTGATTTTTGTGCGCCTTTTGTCCAACAAAGAATGTACACAAAGTGTTTTGATGTCGTTATATATCTGAGCACAAACAAATGTCGTTATTATGTTTCTCAGAATAAAGTTTTGAGTGACTTTTTCTTTGTAGAACATAGTAGGTTGTACAACAACCATATTATTTATACACAAGGTTGCACAATAAATAGTTGTAGTTCTGTTTTATGCATTTAGGTCTTCAAGTGATATGCTAATAGGCCTTACATAATTGTATTAAGATGGATTTCCATTTTAACCTTTGACCCTGCTGACTACTTTTTAAGAGTCCTTTATGCCTCGAGTATTTTTTTTTGTATATTAGCATTATTCTTATGCCGCCTTTAAATAATCTTAAGCATACATTATTCAACAATATTTGAAACTTGGACACTAATTAGAAGCTCATTGACATTGATGCTGTATTTAACCTTAACAACAGTCTTAAAAAAAAACCTATACTATATTAATAGTGAAAGCTTACAAGGCCACAAATTTGGTTAATACTAAATGCTGGTAGTAATTGAGAATTTCTTGATCCACTCCTTCATATTCTTAGGTATTTAGCGCATTTCTTTTTATGTCCCCTGTTTTTGAAGATACATATTTGGGCGTATATTTTTTTTTTGTCAAAATTTGGTTTTTTTTAAAACTACATCTACGGAATAATTTTGAACAGGTAAATGATAGGAAAAAACTTCAAAATAATTCAGTTCAGGAAAACTTCCATAGATGCACCTCTGAAAAGTTTAAGCGCCGAATTGTTCTGTAGATACATATCCAAAAATTTCTGCTATATTTGAAACCTGCATGATCAGTCCCTCCAATTGTTGTGTTTTCTTCTTCCACACTCACCTTTATCAACCTAAAAAATCCTACATTCTAAAAAAAGTGTCATGGAAGGAGCCCGCATAAGCAAATCATCTCCGACCTTGACTCTACTGAAAATTTCATTCATCGATGAGATGTTAGTTTTTATGTACAAATACATCGATCGTATCCTCAATGTTGAAGGAGATGGTAATTGCGGTTACCGAGCTGTTTTAACTTTGTTTGGTAAAGGAGAGAATAATCATGTGCTTGTCCGTCATCAACTAATAAAGAATCGTACACGCAATTGTATGGAAAGAAAGAAAAATTTGATGCGGTATATGAATCTCTGGTTTTCTTCCGTAAATACTCATACAAAAATATTTCGTAGATGCATCTATGAAATTAATTTAAAAAAAGTTGAAAAAATGTGCGTTTAGAAATACATCTCCAAAATTAAAAAGTATTTTAGACAAAGCGTATGGTACCTAAGAAGATGAAGAGGTAGGATAAAAAAATCTCAAATAATTACTATGGGAGGCCCACCACAAGCTTTTCTACGAGGTATTCCTCCAAAAATTGTCAATATTCACTTTGATTAGATGAAGAGGACTCCACAAAATCTCTTTCAAAATAAAATATAATTAGATTTTATTTAAAACTTATTTAAAATATCTTTTTCTTCTCGGATCTAATTTATTAAATTACTTTGTTATTTAGGTTTATCTTAGACTTAATTTAAAAATTATTAATACTTATATTTTGTATTATTTTGTTGTGTGAAACGACTATGTTTAAAAAAGAAGTTGTTGATTTTTTTATTTACTGAAAGTATAAATATTCATATATATATCAATGTTGTGTCACTTAAAACAATAAATATCGTTTTAAAGAAGATTGGATTTTCCATCCAAAACTGGGTAGCATCGTAGTTTGTCGCTCGTTGCTTGTTATTTATATATATATATATATATATATATATATATATATATATATATATATATATATATATATATATATATATATATATATATATATATATATATAATATGATTTAATTGAAAGGCATGATAGTGTAAAAGGATTTTACACTGTTAGTTAATCATAAACGTTGGATGTTAGAAGAAATTTGACTTTTATTTTAATCATTACTAAAATAATACCAACGGATGATATATATCTTTGATAAAAAATAAAATAAAAGAATGAACTATGATATTTTAAAATTTAAAAATTTGGTAGGTGTTGTAATTTTTTTAGAGACTAAATCATCCAATTCAATTAATTTATTAATTATACAATTTTATTATAGAGAGTGATAGAGATGACAATTTGACTCATTTCTAATATGTACCGTAAAATTTACCTACAAAACCTGCAAAACGGATACTTACAATTATCCATTAAAACAAGTGCATATGAGGTGGGTACATTTACTTTAATACCCATCCTCTTCATATCCACAAAATATATATTTGTATATATTTAATTTTTATTATTATATATACATATTAATTTATCAAATTTATTAAACACATCACTATCACTATTAAACTTGCGTGCGTTTTAAATACATCTATGTATATTTAAAGTGCACTATAAATATGATAAGATATTAAATAAAATATAAAATCATATTAAAAAATTATATAAAAAATCAAATAATGACTAATAACTACATCGTAATTATGTTGTAAATTGAAAAAAAAAAGTGAACAATCATATTGATAAGTTTTCTTTTATTTTAAAATATTTTCAAACAAATATTATTTTATACAGTTTACAACTATATTATGTATCAACATCATTATTTCTTTAAGTTAATAGAATATAATCTAGTTTAAATAAAATTAAAAAAAGTTAAATTTATAATTTAAAAAAATGTAATGCTAAATATTTCTTAAAAAATTATCATTCTTAATAAAAAAAATACTTTCTTTTTATTTCTTAAAAATTACTTTTCACTTAATACTCAATATGTCTAAAAATTTAGATTATATATATATATATATATATATATATATATATATATATATATATATATATATATATATATATATATATATATATATATATATATATATATATATATATATATATATATATATATATATATATATATATATATATATATATATATATATATATATATATATATATATATATATATATATATATATATATATATATATATATATATATATATATATATATATATATATATATATATATATATATATATATATATATATATATATATATATACATATCTATGTGTGTGTCTATATATATATATATATATATATATATATATATATATATATATATATATATATATATATATATATATATATATATATATATATATATATGTTCCGGTATGGGCCTCACCTCGGCAGGCCCAATACCAAATGCGGCCCAACAAGCGAACTGGGCACGCCTGGCACGCGCCCCTTCGAACGAGCAGGACTGGCCGCCGGGCACAAGCTGCCGCTCCACGCCCCTTTTGTCGTCCGTCACGCCGGACGAGCAAGACCACCCGGGCTCCCTCCGCGGGAGAACAACGTGCTCGGCGCACGTTCTCCATGTGCTCCCCTCCGCGGGGACACGTCATCGGCCAACCGCCCACCTCCGAAAGAGCAGGTCAAACCCACTTTCCGGAGACCTAGGAGCGGTTGAACTAGGGCGAAGACCACGTCCTGGTCTTCACTACGCCACGTAAGCCCTAGCAGTCATTAGGGCTGGGCCTGGTCGTCTGGCCCACCTCGAATGACCGTTGGCCCAGCGCTGGGGTCTCTCTATAAATACCCTCTTCTTCAAGAGGGTCAGGTAACTCTTCTTGCCCCTTTTTCTGTACTATTGCTTCCTCTCTGTCCAACTTCTTATTTGGGCGTCGGAGTGCTTTGCAGGTACACCCCCCTCCTCTTTCTTACCCCGGCGAACAGATAACCGTCCAGCGGAGTGTGGCCAGTCCGTGATCCCTCCTGATCGGGTCAGATCAGTGGCGCCGTCTGTGGGAAACTGAAACTTCCCCGTTACTCCGAGCAGAAAACCAAAAGTTTCACCAAACCTCCACGGTCATGGCCAGCCCACGCCGCGATGACACTCCGCACGATCTTGCGCTCAACACCGCCACCAACGGGAAGCAGATAGGAACGGCACGCCTGACGGAAGCCGACGAAAGGGACGGGCGAACTGCTTCACCATCATCCGAGGAACGGCCCCTACAGACCGACCATCGCCCCCCGAGCCTGCCAGCATTCCACCCCGTTCCCATCCCGGCGGGAGCAGACCCAACGGTAGCCGCTCTCTTTGCAGCCATCAACCAGACGAACCAGCTGCTGTTCCAACAGAACGCTAGAATTGGAGCATTGGAACGCGTCGGCTCCCCGAGGTACCCCCAGCGGGAAGACCCGAACGGAGGTTCGAGGAGCCCCTCACCTCGACTCAGGAACCGCCGGCCACGACTGGAGAGACACCGCCCGCAAACGACACGGGAGCGCACCAGATCCCCGGCGAGGCACGGTCGCGGGAGGAACCAGAACGCCGCGGCGATCCCAACCGAGGAACCCCGAGGCGGGAACTCAGGCCGAAGATCAAGGACCCGAAACCCGGGACACACCGCGAACGGCTCATCTCCCCTGAGATCCCCGGCGCACAGCGACGAGGATGACTACCGCACCCCACTATCCGGGGAGATCATGGCAGCCCCCATACCCCAGGGAATGGAGAAACCACCGACGCTGTCGACGTACGACGGCACCTCCGACCCGGACGATCATCTGGAAGATATCGAGGCTATGCTCGACTACCGAAATGTCCGGGGAGCTATTAAATGCAGACTCTTCCCGACGACTCTGAGGAAAGGCGCTATGACCTGGTACAAAAGTCTGGAGCCCGAATCAGTTACGTCGTGGAGGGTCTTGAAGGACCTATTCTCCAAACACTTCACGGCGTCCCGGCGTCACCCAAAGACGGAAGCAGTCCTCGGGGCAATCATCCAAGGCCCCGACGAACCTCTCCGGAAATACATCGAAAGGTTTACTCGGGAAGCCGTA